TCGGTCACATAATCCGCCTCTGCGCTATTTCTGTCCACTAAACATTAGAACATTCCAGTTGCTTGAGTGAGAGGCTATCAGAACACTTCATTTTTCTATTTTCACCTACTTTAACCTTTAGATAACTCTCTGTGTTATACAAAAGTTCGCATATCAAAATTATTTAATATTTGTATTTTATAAAATAAGAAAAACTTCTATTGTCAGCACGAAAATTATTTTCGCTGTGTTTTATACTTACTATTGCAGAGAAACTACTTTACTGCATATGATTATTATCTCCATCAATCATGAGAAAGCCAGTCCATTGGATATCTTTTCTAGAAGAGACTAAAACTAATCATAATAAAAGGTCGGGGAAACAGAATTTTGCTGCATGAGAAATTAGTGATGGCTAACTTCTTTATTCATAGCCTCATACTTATTTCTTTTTTATCGGTTCATATCTTTTCGTTCTGATTTATGAGAGAGACTGTTGAGTATTAAATTACCTTATTGGTAGGATCGTTCACCATTCCTACAGACCGTTTGATCATGTCTTTTTTTAGTCCAAAGGGGCTTTGTCCCTGAAGGACTATTGTTTTCGTTTTGCGATTTTGCGTCGGAAGCCTGTAAACGGCATCTCATTTTTCACCAAATACTATCGCCTTGTATTATATTTGAAGAAATTAAATAATGAAGAATCTGCATAAATGCATGTTTGTTTCTCGTATTGTGATAAAACAACGGTACCTGCAGCCATCCAATTTTCAATGGCTTAATTCTACTGCGAATATGGGCATCTGAAAGCCCAAATTTGAAATTTGGAATTTGTTTTATTATCGATTTCATATTTTGTAAAACTTGAACGAATTTTTAATTAACAAAATGAACGATTTAAAAGCGAGCGATGGCAACACTCTACGAGGGGGGGGCGAATCTTTTTTTTCTCCAGGGCGCGGAACTATGTACCGGAAATTCTAAAGATATGCTCATTTTAAAATTATTTTGCGACATTGCTGTTCAACTTAATTTTATGGTTTAAGTGCAAAGAACATGATATTTAATAAATAAAGGTAACACAAAATATTAAAAAAAAACTCCCCTTTGGACGTAATTTAAAATCTGAAACCTTTCAGATTTTTTTTGTTTTTGTTTTTTTTGGAAAAGGACATGATAGCATAAATTCAAAGAGATGAACCGGGTTGTGGAAGAGGATAGGTGATATAATATCTGCAAAATAGTTTAATAAAGTTAAACCTAATTTAAGCTTAACTTATGTAGATTTAATTTTTCTAGACTGCCAGACAAATTATCAATCCACTTTTAATTTCGAATTCAAGAATACTGTTTAAAGACAACAATAGAAAAACTGAAGGGAAAGTTTATTTGTACTACTATAAACAACTTAACCTAAATCATTGCTCCTTGCGAGGTGCTTGGAATACAGAAAAGTAAGTATGTGCAAAAGTCATATAGTAAATTAAAAATGCCTAATAACCTGGTTTCTAATACAGCGACTTCTAAACGTTATTACTAGGAACAGATAAAACTCGCCAAAACTGGTACGCCTAGCCAGGCAGATGAATTACGAGTTACCACGCCAGTGATTCTGGTTCTCTGCCTTTTTTCACAGCTAATCGCCAAACTTCTGCCAATATACAATCACCTTACTTTTGCACTTCAAGTGACCATCCGCCGCGCTTCTGCTAGCACGTTCGACTCTGCGATCATTGCTTCATCACCATTACGGGCTGTTCATCATACCCACACAAGTATTTCGTTTGAAATGCTATGTACAATTTTCTTCAGAAATGCTCTTCCTCAATTGCTTTTCTTTCCATTCATTTACAGTGTGTTATGTAACTGCGTTATGCTATCTACCTAATGGACTTTTACTTACGAATGTTATACTGGGATAGGGCTTCGGCCCAGGAACCCGCATAACGTTGTCTGCAGCCACCTAAAACAGTGAACTTACACCCGTGTCTGAGTTGGCAGCTGTCTCTCTCTCCTAATTTACATTTCCAGATGCTATTTAAAATCCGCTTAATAAGCATTTCTATTGGAGTTGGCGAAAGAAATGGAGATTTTAACATAAACATACCACATCACTTAATATAAATCTTAGAATTCAACATCCATTTCCCCTAAACTTTAAAAATGTAGAGAAATGAGAAAGATATTCGAGTAAAAAATCATTAAATTATGCAAAGTGTTCATGTACATGAGAGTAATGCCCACTTGCAAAGAAGATACTCGTTAAAGATTTCTTCATTTTAAATTAATACTGGAATAGAGTAGGAAATCTGTCTTACTTTTCATATCTTTGCAAAAATAAACAATCACATAAATTAATAAAATTAAATAGGGTAAAAAATTAAAAATTATAATTGAAATTCATTTCACATTTTAATTTTCCCTACATTTATACTTTTATAGTAATCTTAGAAATTGAGCGTGAATTTTTTAGCCCTTAGAAAGCTGCGCAGAGAATTTTTTTAAAGCTTTCTGTTACTTAAGTTATAGTTTTATATTTATACCGCTTTTACCTGTCTGTTTCATAATCGGTTTCGGTGAAAGAAAAGAAAATGGTTGGACCATTTTTCGTGTGAATAATTTACCATTCATAGTCGTATATGATAATAAGCCTCAAATCTGCCAACTTCAGACCTGGTGAATTAAAGAGAAAAGTTATTTGTTCTTTCACAAGCAGAAATAATTCATAAGCACATTTGCTAGACTTACATTTAAATTTATTTTATGCTACTGCATCTTTGTCAGATGTCCATTTTATTTTTTAAACTTATGAAAAGACGAAAATTTAAAAGAAATTATAAAAGTTCCTTGAGATTTCTGCTTCTGTTACTAATAAACAATTATCAAGTAATTTTAGAAAAAATATTTCATAAATTTGACAGGTGTCAAAAACGCAATAAAACAGTCAAAGCTGCTTCAAAAAGCAAAATCTTTGTTTTATTCCATTCTATATACATTCCGGTTTAAAAGTGGAGAACGACGTGTGGCATATGTCCATTACCACTTTCTCGGGAGCCATTTACTCTGTCACGAAGTTTATGGTGACTCTTCAACAGCCGTCTCCGCTGATTTCGCAAATGATATGTTGGATTTCTCGCTTTAATTTGAGAAACGTTAACTATTTGTTTACTAAAACATTCGATTTGACATAACCCATAAAAAGAAGTCAGAAGTCACGAAACCTCATAGACCATATTTAATCACCTCCACGAAATGAGGACATGCCCCCAGAAAATTTCTTATGGTTATTGTCTCCCGGGATATGTGGCAGATAACCCTGTCTTGCTGGAACCACATATTCATGGTATACCTTTCATTCAGAGCAGATCACAACATATTTGTGATCATGTGACGATAACCGTTACTGTTTACTGTAATTGTATTTTCGACGACATTTTCAAAAAAAAAAAAAAAAAAAAAAAAAAAAAAAGAGAGGCCGATCACATCTCCTTTACCAAAAACCATTCAACACATTTGTTCGTAGGCGGGAAATAAATAAAGCACTGTTAGACCATATAGGGGTGTCTAACTATGGCAATTTTGTCTGTTGACAAACCCAGACAGATGAACCTATGCCTAGCCACTGAAGATTATTCTCTTTGATAAAGTGTCATGCTGCTCTTGTTTTGTCAAAATCCACTCAGCTATTTTCCGTTTCTGGTGGTCTGTTGGCTTAAATTGTTAGGCCATTTTTAAATGTAACCATTTTTGAATGGCTACATGTTAAGATCTTTTGTATTCGTTGCACCCAGGATGACATTCTTAATTTCTGTGAACTGCGGGGAAGTAGCTTCTTGAGGCTCATATTCATACAGTGCTATACACCACCAGGACCGGCCCCAAAGCCAGTGCAACTAGTGCAGTCAGACTGGATGGCGGAATTTAGGGCCGGCAAAATTTTTAGAATTTAGAGAAGCGTCTAGCGGCAAAACATAAGGCTAGCAAACCAGTTAGAATTTAGGGAAGGCACTGGGCAATAGGAGTGGCAATACTTTTAGAATAGCACCGAGCAGCAGGATTCAAGACCGGCAGAGACTGTACCCGGCGGCAACTTCGGAACTGCACACCACAATGTTTTGCTTCGTTCGATTCGTACGCTTCCCTCCAGACGATTTTATTGTCGCAACTGACTCGGATTTTATACGTACAATTCGTTGATTATATGCTGCACACACTAAAACAAATAAATTTATTTCATATTTTAAATTTATACTGGAAAATAATACATGTGCAGTTTTTACACCCCAACACGCCATTTCAATAAAAGGAAGCTTTTTAATTCAAAGACAAGAATTATAAATTTTCATTCGAAGATGCAGAATTTAAGTGCTCTAATTAATTATGGATTACGCAGTTATCTAAAATAATTTTTCAATTCTCTGTACTCAGTTTTATAATATTAAGGGTGAGGCTTTTCAGCGTCTTTTTTGCTTTCTGTTATTGTTTCCAAATATTGGGTTCATTTGTAGCAGAACAAAGGAGAAAAATGTTCATATTTTTACTGTGTTATGGAAGGAAAAAGAAATTACTTTATATTTGAAGAATTGAGAATATAAAACAGCTCAGAAGCCATAACTGTTAATTAATTTTTACTGATTTTTCTTGTATTACATGTTTAGGGGAATTTAGAGCGTCTTCCCCAATTACTAACTTCTAATGCCAGAAATAATTATTCTGTTAAGTCTTGTAAGTATGATGTAGCAGACGAAGGTCAAGTGAATTACAATTGTTCTGTTTAGCGCTTAGTCTTTCTTCTTGTTCGTTTAGAAATAAATTAATGACATTTTTTATCTTCTCTGCAAATCATAACAAAAGCCATAAAAACTCAAATTTTCACTATCGGATGGCATAACGAAACAGGAAAAGGAATCAGAAATGGTAATGGCGATAAATCCTGCAATTTGCAGCTATTGGCGAAGAAAGTTTCGTACGGCAACCATTCTCGAACTGCGGGTAATGACCTTTCTTGGACGAAGTATGTTTTCAGGGTTAGTACGTCAGACAGATATGAACGAGCGGAGTGGTAAGTGATAAGATGTGTCAGGCGGTGCAATGTTGACGATGAAAACCATGCTTTTTACTTTACTACGGCAATAATCAGTATAAAAGTAAGTAAAACCGTTCGTTATTTTTTTCTTATAGAATTCGATCTTTTACACTTTTCAAAAGTTTATAACGATGTTATAAAGTGTGTAATTTTAGAGGAAACAGGACACGTGCTTCTTCCTCGTAACTGATTACTTAACGAACTGGCTTGATTGCAGTTGAAGTAAAATGCGATTTCATATGAAAATATCACATTTAATTTATTCAGAGTTGTGTGTCCAGAGTTGTATCTAAGGTGGGAAAATTCTGGGAGTTATGCAAGCAATATTGAGAAATGAAACTATACAAAATTTCAGACATCGATGGTAAAATTACTAATGCCAGCTAATATGAAAAAAGAAGGGATCCCGAAGTTGCTAGTAAATGTGTATATCTCTGAAATTCCTTATATACTTTATTTTTGATTAACACTAGCCATTTCAATGGTTTGTAATATTTTGAATTTAGTTAGTCGAAGCCTTCTGCTTGATAAACTTTTGCATAATTTTTTTCCCTATAGCAAACTACTCATTCTGGGATTTACCATCAACCGATCTTGAAATATCTATATTGTTAGGCTTTACAATTTTTTTCCCTCTCTGTATATATATATATTTATTTATTTGTTATGTAGATAAGTTTATATTTATCTACCATGTAAATAATTTCCTAGATGGATTTAGAATTTTATCAACAGAGACATGAGTCTGCTGTACATTCAAATACTAGGATTCACTCATTATTATATAATTAGAATGAAATTTTTGGTGATCGTCTGAAGAATAATGAGCAATAATTTAAAGGTAGAACTTACAATTAGCGAAGATGTTGCAAGAATTTAGACTATAGTAAATAAGCGGCTAAAATCTGAAATAAAAAGAATGCTTTTTAAAATTAAAAGTTTTAAGAACAACCCCCTCCCCCCCAAAAAAAAACATACCATACATAACACATTTAAAATAATGAATTCTTTTTTAGTTAAATTTTTGCTTCATCCACTAAGTCATGCTAGGGCTGATTTTTGACATCGTTTTCTTAATTATGTTATTCCTGAGTAAATTTTGCAATAAACCTGAAAGTATGCATTAATTTCTAGTTAAAACATACTTGGCTGCTTAGGTAGTTGTTGGTATCTGATAAATTTCCTCACAAAATGGCAAGAATTCCCTTAAGAGCTATTGCAAAATGATTTATAGTTAATTAGAATCTTCAGCGTTTTTGGAAGTTTACTTAATTCAAGGTTTTTTACTTGTCACGTTTTAACTGGTACTGTCCGATATAGGTAGCTGAATATCATCTTTTCAAGAGGAGAAATTTATTTCACCGTTTTTGCTTTCAATATCCTGATGTCACATATTTTCATTGCAAAATATGTATTTACCTCTGAAGAAGGAAACAACATAACAAAAGTAAAGTTATTTTAAATATTTTTAAAAACTGGCAATGACTGGTTTCCTGACGGGCGCCATTTAGTAATTTTTTCCTCGACCGTTTCGGTTAATCAGAGTTTTACTGTCCCATAAATGTAAAGTTTTGTGTATGTGTTTAAAAATATATGATTTCTATTCTGTAAATTGTGTGAAGTATAATTAGTTGAATTTGATGTAAATGCTATGCATTCTATGCTAACATTGACGATATGCTTTTCTTGTTATTGTAAATAAATTCTGGGTATTTTCACTGAAATGTTGTCAAGCAAATCGAAACTGTTATTCCATTAAAGGCATCAAGACTGTAATATAAAAGTAAACGCTCTAGTTTAAATTTTGTTAAAAGTTTTTTACTGAACCGTCTCGAAGGCGAGTGCTTCCGAAAATGACCTGTGTTTCTGAGAACATAAAAAGCAGCGGTATTTAACATCAGGTCTTTATGTCGAACATATTCATAGAAAACAGAAATCATGTGGAAGCGAGGGTGGTGTTTTAGAGAGGTTTTCTTGTATTTTATTTACCTTCATTTTAGCATCAAAGAAATTATTATTTTGAATGTATCTGATGATTTTCCTTTATCAGTAGTAACCCAAGAAAATCACAATTCTTATTTTTTAGTGATGACGTATAATCTTTTATTAAGTACAGAAGAAAATTTATTTAACATTCGTATGTTCTAACTAACGCTTAACAGAAAGCTCCCATTACACAAGTTACACCGATGTCAAATAGCAGACGTTACATTGGTGTCAAACAGCACATCGAAAATTACATGGCAACACTGACGTACTTCCAAAGGTTAACTTAATTGTTTATTGTAATCTTACTGAACAAGAAGATACGATTTCGGCCAATTACACGAAATAATTTAAAGCATTAACTGCTAAATAGTTCAAGCTATGGATTTCGAAATTTTCGTTAGGAAGGAAAATGCTCGAAAATCGTAACTAGTGCGTGAAAAAAATAAGGAAATATTAACGCAGTGTTGAACGATAAACTATTACTACGTATTCTGAGTAATGATCTTAAGAAAATACTTTTTATCGATTCCCCCCGCTTCTGCCGGATATCTATAATTTTTTGTAGAACTTTTATAATTCGTATGCTGTAAATCTCTATATCAATGTATAACAGTGATAACATTCGCAATATATATATATATATATATATATGAGAGAGAGAGCGCATTTTAACTGGTTCTTTTTTATTAACTTTCCTAATATCCTTTCTTTTCCTAGGAGATGATACAAAAATTCTTCTAATATATATATCTGTATAGTAATACATATATGTATCATAATTTGCACCATAGAAGGTAAATTAGCTTGCTGGCCTCGTAGCTAAGGGTGAAGGCTTGCAAATGAAGATAATAAAGCATGAACTTGAAGAATTTCCAGTCTTTATTTTCACACATATCCAATTAATTTGGCAGACACTTATTTTATCATAATTAAACATGATAAATTTATATGCACATTGATCCTTAAAATTAAGATGCAGGCAGTTTAGACAGGGAAGCAAAGCGAGGAGATATTAGCAAGGTGGGAGCTAGGAAAAGAGTGATGCAGTTAGCTTGCCAAAGCGTTTATACCAGAGTAGGTGCGATTCTAGAAACAAGGTATGATTGGTCAATATTAGTTTTGGTTGCCCTTTTCAAGCAGCGTTACGTAACGCAGAAAAATCTCGAATTTGGGAGAGCAGATGAATTTATGGGGAGAGCACCAAATTTAGAATGTTAATTTTGAGGTCGCCAATTAATTTTTTACAGCAGCTATTTTATTATATCTTACACACACACACACACACACACACACACATATATATATATATATTTGCTATTATTGTAATAAGATAACTTGGTGGAAGTAAGTTGCAACGGATTGGCGTTGGAGAGGTTTTATTGCGTAGTTAGAAAGATGGATGCATAAACCAAAAAAACTTCCAGACGTGGGAATTTGGAAACATAATTTTATTCCACGATAATGCACATCATCACTATGGGTGCTCTACCCCACAGTTTTATACAGGTGACATTTTCTTGAACAGTGGAGGAAACTAGAAAAGAAAACTCTGGCTAGCGGCAAAGCGATGCAGCGAGCAGAAGAGAGAGGGAGTCACGATGCAGTTACCTTTTATACCGTTTCAGATCACATAACAAATTAATGTCCATATGTTGGGTTCAGATTTCATCGATAAATGTGCATCAGGACTGTAAGGAGTTTAGTTAGAAAAATTATTGCTCTGTTATTTTTAGAACGAAAACGGAAGTTAAAGGGCTGTTATTAATTTATTATTTGAAAGATAAATAGATATTTTATATTTTACATATTTCAAGATAGATATTTTATATTTTGCATATATATAGATATATATATTATTAGAAAGTTTTTTTATATATCATGTCCAAGGAATATAAATTGAATTAATGCAATGAATTATTGGAATAAATTTGAGTCATTATTTTTAAGTATAAGTTATTTAGATTTCCGTGGTAGTATAAATATTTTAATAAGCTATATAGAAATATTATTTTAAACCTGGAAAATTTCTAAAAAGTAAAATTAAAACGTAAAATTTAAAGTACTAAAAAGTTAGCCATTGTTACTGACCGAAGATTAATTGACTTATATATGTATTTAATGAAAATATAAAAAAAGTAGCAAATGTTGATGGTGTAGAACGTAGATCCCTACCGAAGAGGAAGAATTCTGATTGCGTAGAATGCTAAAATGTTGAATCCGTAGTGACTAAGAAACTTAGCAGCCGAGTAATAGTAAATATTCATTTTTGTTTCTACTGCCATTTATGGCCACAATTTACTTAGCACTCTTGCCTGTTCAAAAACATTTACAATTTTGATACTGTTGCGATAGGAAAAGAGCACAGCCAAATAGTGTGCAGGCAGTACAGAGGGTGAAGTTAGAGAGCGAAGTTATCCAGTATGGAGGTCTCACCAAGAGAAGGTTTTGATTTAGATTAGAAAGGTGTCAGTTCTCGAAATTTTGAGTTCAGGTTCCGAATTAGCTACGTCATTAGCTTTGCGCAAGGTATGTGGGATGAATTGATCTAGAAATGACGCAATCCAGAAAAGTTATTACGATTTTTTAGAATACAGAGAGGAAATACACAAATTAAAAATGAGGAATTAAGTGGCTATTACTAAATTAAATTATAAAGCTGATTTATCTATTTTGTATCTTGCATATAAATATATATTACTTCAATATATTATTATCAACTGTAACATAAGTGATATTATAGCAGTGATGAACCTGCACAGTACATTTTGCAAAGTGAAAATTTTAAATGCGTCCGAGAAAGTTAAACAGCATGTGGAAAGAAAAACAGTGTTAACTGTGAAAGTAGATTATGCTTTAAGCGAAGTTAAAAATTACTCGAAATGAAAATTGCTAAATGTCTCTGAGTTCACTAGAATCCCTTTTAACTTGAGGCAGAAATATTTTGGTTCATACACATTTCGGATGACTCGACCCACGGTAAACTAATTTTCATTAAAAAAAAAAAAAAAAAAAAAAAAAAAAAAACTTTAAAAATTCAGATTTTTAGCACCGCACAAAAGAGTTTGTTTAAGT